GGGGGGGGGGGGGGAGGCAAGGTTCATGGGGCAAGTTCCCCCCCCCTCTTCACTACCTTGTGTTGTTTGCGATGCAAGCCTTGTGTTCCCACAGGCCATGTGGGCGGCACAGCCTTATATTCCCGCACAGTCTAGATTAATTGCTTTGGGGGATGCTTTGGGGGTGACATTTTCATTTCGAAAAATTTTCACGGACCACCAGTGGTCCCCACCCAACTGGTTGGCGATCACTGCTACAGAGCCCTGCACACCAGAACAACTAGACACAAGAACAGTTTTTTCCCAAATGCCACCACTCTGCTGAACAAATAATTACCTCAACACTATCCAACTGTTTGCAAAATCTGCACTACTATTACTATTAATCTTCTCATCACTCCTTATCACCCATTCCCTCCCACTTGTGACTGTATGACTGTAACTTTGTGGCTTGTATCCTTACGATTTATATTGACTGTTTCCTAGTATGATTTGATTGCTTATTGTACTCTATGACTATCATTAAGTGTTGTACCTGATGATTCTTGACAAATGTCTCTTTTATGTACACTGAGAGCATTTGCACCAAGACAAATTCCTTGTGTGTCCAACCACACTTGGCCAATAAAAGAATTCTATTCTATTTTTTTCCAAGAGGCAACTGGACTTTCTGGTTTTTCTTTGAAGACGTTTCGCTTCTCAACCAAGAAGCTTGGATGAAGAACTGAAAAAACTTCTAGGACGAGAAGCAAAATGTCTTCAGAGAAAAACCAGAAAGTCCAGTTGCCTCTTGGAAAAAAAGCATCTTTGGGACAACTACGACCTGGATATGACAATTTCTATAGTCAATGGGATGTGGTTTTGACACAACTCTTTCCACCGTATGATAAGCTTATAGTGACTTCTTGTGGAGAGGAATGGAGTTGTGGAGAATACTTGTAGCTCTCTTAACACAGTATTCAAGAAACAATCAAAAAGCCAAAAAGGAAACAAAAAGACCAAAATATCTCTTCACCAGCAATCAACATCCTGATGGGAAGATTTAACATCAAAATTAATATTAATATTTTTGAAAGAGAGCAAAACTCGCTGCATTAAAACACTTTAACTACAATCAATATGTCTCTGAATAAGATTGTTTTCCAATAGTTTCCTAAAGTTCTTCAAGTTGAGTAGTAGTAAAAATACAGTCCAGAAATTTGGGTTAACCAATCCAATCTGTCCTTTACTTTTAAAGTTACTTCTAGTTGCAATATCTTTTTTTTTTTTAAACTAAATTCCACTGCAGAAATTGGAGTGATTCTTACCAAGACTAAGCACGCTGTTACAAGATCTTTCCTTTCTTTTTCACTTCTGTCTCAGCTGCCTTCCTGGCTTCGATTTAGCCATGCTGGCAGTTCTCTTTTTAGTTCGGATGGAGGGGTTTTCTTCGGGTCAGTCGAGGAGACTCTCCTCTCCTCGCGACCACCGAAGCATTCCACTGCCTTTACCACCCGTCCAGGGTGACTTTCGGCTCCTAAGAGCCTCAGGGCTTTCTCCTCCCTCCTTGTTTCTCCCTGCCAGCTGTCCAATGTGGCTCCGGGGAAACTGTGTGGGGGATATTAATGGAAACACATTGTCTGGCGTGGAAGATACTTCTATCATCTGTATGAGGGATTTAAATGAAGGTACGTTGTTTGCACTCCGCTGGCTCCAAGTGATCCAGTTCAAGAGCTCCACTGGTGTGGTTAATAGGGCTCGATGGAAAGAGCTTCACTTCTCTGGGGAAGGAGAGGAGGGCTCCGGATCAGCTAGCAGGAGCTCCGCCAGCATTATTAGGGCTCCACGGCTTCAGAATCCAGTGTTTTTGGGATTGTTTTTTGGGCTCTGGTTTACTCACGGTTACTGGTGCAGGCGGCAGCTTTAAAAGTGATTTCTGGTGCAGGTGGTGGCTTTATAGGGAGATAGTGCTCCAGGAGCGAGAGCCTCACCTTCCTAGTTGGGCGCCACCATGTTTCAAAGCAATGCAGTCACATGACTGTGGGACACAGCAGAAAGCCACAAATGTGGGGAAAGGACTCGTTGTGATCACAGGTGGCAGCTGTGGGAACTTCAAATCGAATCATAAGTACTCCCCAGGTAGGTCCATTGTAATGTCAATCAGTTGCTAAGCAGCCAGTTGTAAATCAAGGACTGCCCCTTGTTAGGGATAACATTGTTTACCCTAACTGGTTTGGGTAAAAATAATAAATATAGTATCATGGTTTGTTAGTTAAAGTGTGTGTAACTTTAACTACAAGAAAGTAATTAAGGGTGTGGTTGTAAAAGCACTATATTAGAAGCGAGGCATTTGCAGCTCTCTCTCTCTCTGGCTAGAAGATCCCTAATTACTGGTTGGCTTATTGAAGACTGCGTTCTTGCTGGATCGGGGAGAAGAAGAAGTGTTGGATTACTTTGAAGATATTTCTCAACGGAGAGAAGATAAGTTTTGGACAGATTTATTATATGTGTACTGACACTGGCTATTCGACACGGACTTTGCAATTAGAGTATCCCCGACAAGACTTGACTGAAATGATATATGACTAATGGACCGTTATTTGACTATGCTATAATTCTTAAATGGAATAAACTATATTTTTGATAGCACAAGCATATCTGTATTTTTACTGCGTATTAACTAGAAAACTTATCTCACACATTTACCTGTCTTCCTATCTGACTTTGCTGCACGTTCTGTTTAGTTTGTTTTCCTTAACACCAGTTGGGGAATCCAGGCTTAACACTCCTAAACAGTCTTGGTCCCCTAAGAGTAACTTTATTTGGGAACAGGAGCAGCATTCTCAAGGTGTGTTTAGAGCAGATTTTCTACCTGTCTGAAAATATTGGGGTCCCTGTTCCTACAAATTTCCAATACTTTCTCTCTTATGTGAGTTGGATCTGTTTGAATACATAAGAACTCCTATACAGAGAATGTGCTACAACTGTCCAAGAGACATCGGGTTTTGTTTTGTTTTTAAAAGAATGAACAGAAAAAGTACACCTGTTGATACAGTAAGGAACATATTCTTTCCAATGAATCTCTTTGAAATCAAATACTTACCAATTACATGTTAAAACACTGCAGCCATTTTGAAACTGCAGCCAAGGAAAACAAAAAAAAACTCTGTACAAATATTACATCAGTATCCACAAGGTCCCTATCCATATGATTAAAAGCTACATTCTAATGCAAGGGTCTTCAAACTTGGCAAGTTTAAGACTTGTGGACTTCAACTCCCAGAATTCCTGAGCTAACATGACTGGAGGAGGAATTCTGGGAGCTGAAGTCCACAAGTCTTAAAGCTGTCAAGTTTGAAGACCCCTGTTCTAATGCATCTTGATAATACATACAAAAAGATAATAATATTAGTTTGTACCACTGATATCAGCCATCTCAGCAAAATTATGCTAAATTATCTGAAGGCCAAAATTATTTGGACTTTTCGAGGAACTAGATCCAAGAGTTTTAGACTCTCAACTGGCCAAGGACTGATTCTTATACCATTAACCTGAATACTCCTTTTCTTTTAATGTGACATATGGATTTGTGTTTTGTTCTTCAATCATTAAAACATACAACACACACACAAGCCCCCCCAAAAAAACATCTACAGTTGTCAAAGACTGGGCTCAAAGTAATGGATAAAAGCACAATAATTAGAAAATACTGTATTTTAGTGGATATACTTAGCAAAATATTAAGACTACCCAGAACAGAGGGTTCTGATTCCTTCTTCCAAAAAATCTCTTCCTCATTTCAAAACTGTTGATACTAGTCAATGACATCACCAGTATTTTTAATTCTTGATTGAAAACAAAAATCATTACATTTTTGTCAACGTGGGAGAAAAAAGGTGTTTAGGCAGACTAACCAATGGTGAGAAACATTATATGGTATTATGGTAGACAGGAGTTAGGCTGACCAAAAATTTCCATCACCAACTTTTGATGTTTCCAACTCATAAAGGTGCTGACTTTTTGGTATATTGGCATATAAATCTGGCATGTCCACTGATACATCTAACTCCGTGTTTCTCAATGTCAGGTGTGATTGATATGTGGACTTCAATTCCCAGAATCCCCCAGCCAACATACTGGCTGGGGAATTCTGGGAGTTGAAGTGCACACACCAAAAAAAGTTGCTAAGTTTGAGAAATACCATTCTGTTATATAGCTTTGCTTTGCTGAAAAAGGAGGCAGGGATAATAAAAACCTAACCTAGCTCTTGTCAAATCATATTTTAAAAAGAATAAAACTTGGATTTTGAGGTTCTGCTTAGAAACTATTTCCCTTCCAAGAATATTAAAGTCATGCTGCCTCCGTTTTCAAAGGGAGTTTAAACTTTTTCCTGCTTAGCAGAACAAACATGGATTTATTATGTTCTGCCTCTTCTTATAGCTTAAAAGCTTGAAGCAATGCAAGGCATCAAAACAACTGAATTGTATTGCATCTCCAATGTGACTTGAGTTCCTTCCTTCCCCATTCACTGTTCCAAACTTTGTCACCACTAATGCAAAGTACAGGTAGTCCTTGACTTACAACCATTCATTGAGTGACCGTTCAAAGTTACAACAGCACTGAAAAAAGTGACTTATGACCAGTGGTGGGATTCCAAATTGCACGAAGAACTCAAAGATTGCTTCGCGCACGCGGAACTCAAAGATTGCCCTCGATGAGGTGAGCTGCCATGCAAATCAGCTAAGGTAAAAATCAATGGAATATAGGACGGGAAAGGGCGGGAATGGGTGGGCGGGGCCAGTCAGACGTGGTATTTGCCGGATCTCCAAACTGGTCAAAATTTCCACTACAAGTTCCCCTGAACCGGTCTGAACTGGCTCTGCTTATGACCATTTTTCACACCCATGACCACTGCAGCATCCCCAGAGTCACAAATAAAAATTCCGCTCGTGGCAACTGACACAGATTTATGATGGTTGCAGCGTCTTCAGGTTTACATGATCACTTTTTTGCAATCTTTTGAGAAGTAAAGTCCATGGTTTCATTAACAACCAGGTTACTAACTTAACAACTGCAGCGATTCACTTAACAACCAGAAATGTCATAAAAGGGGGGCAAAGCTTACTGAACTGCCATTATGCTTAGCACTGGGCATTTGGGCTTAATTGTTGTCATAAGTCAAGGACTACTCGTTAAGGGGATAGGAAGTAGATATTTTCCTCCAAATTGGCACATCCAATGGATTCCTCCCTCTCTCTCTCTCTGCTTCCTCTGAATACTTGCTGGAAAGGTGAGGGAAGCCTACTTCATATGAAGTCATTTCCACAGATTAAAGTTTTACCTGAAACTCAACCTTTTCAGCTTTAATCCAAGATATAGTGGAGCCAGATGAAGAAATATAAGACTTGTTCTTTTTTTTTTTTTACAAAAGGTGAATCCAATAAGACTTGTTCTTTTTTTTTTTTACAAAAGGTGAATCCAATTCTCCAAACGATGTTACATGACCCATTGGCAATCTTTGTTGGTCTGGCCTCCTCTTTGAAATGCAAGGAAACCTGGATTCCTGCCGCAGGAAAAGCCTAACCCCCGTACCAGTAACTTCCCAGGCTCCTCTTTTCAGAATCTCCAGCCAGGGTGGCTGTCAGAAGAGGACCTGGCTGGAGAAAACAGATCTTAATCACCCCAGTCTAGAGATGCTTTCTCGGAAAGCAGCAGTTGTTGACTTGCGGTTCATGCCGCAGAGGTGAAAAAAAAAGCGTTCCACACATTTCCAGACAATCCTCCGTTTTTACTTTGGCAAAAATAAAAATAAAATCCACGTAATATCCTGCGGTTTTGCAACAGCCTGGCCCACCTGGAGGTGCTTAAACGGCCCCGACGCTCATGTTAATTATTTCAACGAAGGTATTTTCAATGCAGTGACAGAGTTGGACGTTGGGGTCTGCGCTAGGGGCCCCGCCTCCAGTTTTGTGAGTCGTGGGAAGTCTCGTCTGTTCCGTAGGCTTTTCCTTCAGTTGTTGGAGGCCTAGAGGTAAACATTCAGGGCAGGAAAGGGGAAAAAAACCAAAAAAAAACCAGGTTAAACGTGGGAGAGTGGAAATACTCAGATGACGTTAGGCTGTGAAGTTAGGATAGGATGTGTGTGTGTGTGCGTATATACCGTATTTTTCACACTATAAGATGCACATCCCCTCCCCCAAAAAGTGGGTGGGAAGGTTGGTGCATCTTATAGAGCAGTGGCCCCCAACCCTTTTTGTGCCGCGTCCCGGTACCGGCATCACAAAATGATCCGCGGCCCGGTACCGGCATTAGCACGCATGACAAGGCAAGGTGAGTTGAGCGACCGGCCAGCCAGCCGTCCCCCGCTTCTCCCCGCCACCTTCAACTCCTCCTTTGTACCTTTGTCGATGGGCTTCGCTTCGGGATGGCTTCGGGACGGTCGCTCGGCTCGCCTTGCCTTGGGTGCTGAAAGAATCCTCGCGCCTTAGTTTTGTTCGAAGCCGCCCCCCCCCTTCGATGAAACTAAGGCGCGAGGATTCCTTCAGGACCCAAATGCCGCTTTCCAACTGGAAAAGCTCACCCGGAAGCACTTTCTCGTCAAACAAGATGGCGGCGCCCAGCAAACCGGCGGCCCGGTAGGAAATGTTCCACGGACCGGTACCGATCCACGGCCCGGTGGTTGGGGACCCCTGTTATAGAGAATGTTGCCGAAGCCCTGCCTCCCCGCAGGCCCCCACCCTTCGGCCTCAGTCTCTCAGCAATTTGCCTCCTAGCAGCAAACAGCCTGGTCAGCTTCAGCACAGCCTGATTTAGCACGAGATTGGTGGTTGGCGGTTGGATCGGCCTCCCGGAATACCGCCTATCAGCTGTTCCAGGCTGCGGGGATCGCTGCCACCCATTGCTGCCTCCGCACATCCCGTTTTCAGCTCATTCCAGGCGGCGGAACGGGCCGAAAACAGGACGCGCGGAGGCCAAAAATGGGGTGCACAGAGGCGGCGATGGGTGGCGGCGATCCCCGCAGCCTGGAATAGCTGCTAGGCGGTATTCCGGGAGGCCGATCCAACCACCCATCGGCTGCTCGTGCTAAATCAGGCTGTGCTGAAGCTGACCAGGCTATTTGCTGTTTGCTGCAAGGAGGCAAATTGCTGGGAGGCAGAGGCAGATTCCTTTTTCATTTTCCTCCCCAAAAGCTAGGTGCGTCTTATACTTTGAAGCATCTTATAGTCCAAAAAATACAGTATATGTATGTGTGTGTTGTATGTGTGTGTGAACACCGTCTTATGCCCCTGGAAGGTCAAACCACCTAGTAGGGCTGCATTATTATCCTTCTCATCTTCCCCATTACCTATTTCCTTAGCTTCTTGACTATAACTTTGTTGTTTGTAACTCATGATTTACGTTGGTTTGCTTTTATTTATGACTAGCTGTGACTATCACTCAGTGTTGTATCTTATGATTTAGGATGAATGTATTTTATGATTATGGTTTATCCTGCACTGTTTGTATGTACCCTGAGAGCTTCTGCACCGGGACAAATTCCAAGTGTCCAATCACACTTTGCCAATAAAAAATTCCATCCCATCCTATTTTGTGACTTGATGACCCGCTTAATGTGACTTATGATCATAATTCCGGGCCCAGTTAGTCCAAGCAGAAGATAACATTTGTAGCTCAAAGTTGAACTGTGGAAGTCCTTGGTGCTCTCGGAACTTGGTTGTTTTCTTGCAGATGTTTCATTACCAAACTAGGTTATATCATCAGTGCCACGAATGGGAGTGGAGCTTGCTGATTGTTTACAGGCTTGCCCTGTTGGTGCTTGTGGGAATGGTCTTGATCATTCCTTGATTAGGCAGCTGCTTACTGTTCTCTTGCTTGTCTGAATTCGTAGTTCCTTGATTGGGATATTGTTTACTGCTTGACCGTTGGTCTAGTTTTAATCTTGGTGTTAATCTCTGCTTATCTGGGTATTGACTGCTGGTGAAGAGATGACAGGGCAAGATGCTAGTATATAAAAAGAGAGCAAACCCCACTCCCTTCTGCAACTGATGATGTTACCCAGTTGGGTAATAAAATGTCTGCAAGAAAACAACCAAGCTCAGAATCCACCAAGGGCCCCATAATCCTCCTCCTCCCTCTCCTTCTTCATCCTCCACTCTGCAAACTCCACTACCTTCTAGCACTCATGTTACCTAGTTTGGTAATGAAATGTCTATAGGAAAGCCACCAAGCTCAGAAAGCACCATGGACCCTTCAGTCCTCTTCCTCCTCCCTCCCTCCACCTCTTCTAGCACTGATGATGTTACTTAGTTGGGCCATGAAACGCCTGCAGGAAACCCACTGAGCTCAGAGAACACCACGGACCCCGCTCAATTACATTCTTAAGTAGAGGACTGCCTATAGCTAAAACCATTGAATGAAAGAAACGGAGACCTTAAGTCAGGGGTGTCAAACTCGATTTCATTGAGGGCTGCATCAGGGTTGTGTTTGACCTCGGGGGGGCGAGGGGGCGTGGCCAGTGAAGGACAGGACTGTAGTGCCTCTGCCTGTGAAAACAGAGCTCACGGGCCAGTCCTTCATTGTTTCCAAGTCGGCCCCGCAGGCCAATCTCTAAGCACCCAGCGGGCCGGATTTAACCCGCAGGCCTTGAGTTTGCCACCCCTGCCCTAAGATGATGTATCTCTCTCTCTCTCCCCCAGACTTTTCCTTGGATTACTACAACCCAAGACTGGTTGTGAGCCCAAGGGCGAGCGAAGAACCCTGAAACCGTGGGGACACAATGGCTTACGCGTAATAATCGGATCAAAATCCCTCGTTTCTGTGGCAACGTCAGAAGCGCAAACTTGCCCAACTTGAATGAGCAGGGACATGATGTCTTCGTAGAGGGGAGGAAAGGCTTGGCAGAAGGAGACCAAGCAGGGCAGGGTAGGCATAAAAAACGTGTAACGCTTGGCCTCCGTCAGAACTGTGGAGACAAGGGAAAGAGTTTGAAATAACAGCAGTGAATGGCAGAGACAATGTGACTTACGGCCATTATGGTACACGACCAGTTTCGGTGGCTAAGCAAGGCAACCGTTAAGTGATTTTACAACCTTTTCTGCCACGGTTGTTAAGTAAATCGCAGCGGCTATTAAGCAAATCATGCGGTTGTTAAGCCAATGCGGCTTCCCGCATGGATTTTGCTGGTCAGTGTCAGGGCTCCAACAAATCCACCCCCATTCAAATCGTAAGTCTCTAGCCACATCTCTCAGAGTAAAAAAATAATAATGATTTATTAGGAGTGGCCATGTTGGCATTAGCTGGGTGTAGCCAACACTAAAATTCATCATTCATTTCCCCCTTGACCCTGGTTTCCCCCCCACCCCCTGGGTGTATATTCTCCAATGGGACACATCCACAGCCAAGAGTCATCAATCGTGCTCTCCAGTAATATTCTTGCGCGCCGACAGTTTTGGGCTGCCAAGGTGATTATCTAAGGCATTTAAGGAATGCACTGCTTTCCCTCCATTCCCTTTCTGCTGGCAACTAAAAAGACCAAAGGAGTATTTTATTTTATTTTTAGTTGACAGTTGGAAGCCGGCTGGGAGCGTTGCAAAAGGTGACCACCTGACCACGGGATGTTGCAACCGTCATAAACACAAGTGAATCGCCAAGCACTCAACTTTTGATCACGTGACCGTGGGGATGCTGTGTGTTGTGGCCTGTCGGCCGCCGGCGTCTCCAGCAGCCAAACTGGAGGAGGAGGAGGAGGCGTGGGAGTGAGGGTCAGCATCAAAGCAACCCGAGAGCTCCGAGGGGTAAGAGAGAATGGAGCTGGCAGAGAGAGAGAGAGAGAGAGAGAGAGAGAGAGAGAGAGAGAGCCTGGACCATCCGCCAGCCCTCAGATGGAGAGTCAACAGCCCCCCAGGCCTGGAGGTGGCTGATAAGGAAGAGAAGGAACAGCTGGGTCCAGTGCCTGAAGCGCGGATGAGCAGAAGGCAGAGGAGAGGAGAGCCGTGGAAATCTATGGGCCGGTCCTTGGGACGGAAGAACCACCGTTGCTAGCGAAGCCCCACCCTAACTCTGGGGATAAAAGGCAGGGGGGCGGAGATGAATTGATGTGGCAGACAACTATTCATCTTCTGACCAAATGGACTTGTTAGCCTGTGTTGAGAGAGAAACGTTTTGCCAGGGCTGCCGGCACTCCTAATTAAAGGAATATTTGAGTTAACTCCAGAGAGTTGGTTTGTGTTTGGGGGAGCTGGGTCAGAACACTGAGACTCTCGTAAGTGTGAGGATCAGTCATTAAGTTTTTTTTTTTCCAGGGCCTTTGTAATTTCAAACGGTCACTAAACAAATTGCTGCACGTTGAGGACTTCCTGTACAAGCTCCGATGTGTGTTTCCCCAAACGATGAGGCTGCCCTCCATACTTATAACAAATTCATGCGTGCGCCATCTTTGACTGCCATCACAGGTTCTGGCCCTCCAGTCTGAACAAATGACTGAGGCCTTTACTGACATCTTTTTTTAACTGGCACACATTAAAAATGAAATTCTGTTGCCTGCTCTCAAAAGAAAGTATATATTTACCAATACACTCATAACACACATATATGCACATGCTATATACATACATACATACATACATACATACATACATATAGGTGTCAGTGGTGGGATTCAAATTTTTTTTACTACTGGTTCTGTGGGCGTGGCTTGGTGAGGGTGGCAGGGGAAGCTTACTGCAAAATCCCCATTCCCTCCCCACCCCACTGACCTGCTTTCCAGGTCCATTCTCCTGCGCAGGGCAACCACAGAAGACCCAGCCGATCAGCTGGGACTCAATGGGAGGCAGAGAAGAGATGGGGGCGGGGCCAGTCAGAGGCAGGATTTGCTGGTTCTCCGAACTACTCAAAATTTCCACTACCGATTCTCCAGAACTGGTCAGAACCAGAAGACCACCACTGATATGTGTGTGTATGTGTATCTATTTTTATCTCTCTATCTATCCTCCTACACCCAATATATACGTATATATATTAATCACCGACCATTTTGAATACAAGATTCCCCTAACAACCATGTCCTTAACAACTGCTGTGATTCACTTAACAACGGTGGCAAGAAAGATCATAAAATTGGGCAACAGTCATTTAACAAATGTTTCACTTAGCCATAGAAATGTTTGGCTCAATTGTGGTCGTAAGTCGAGGACTACCTGTAATTACATATTAACTCATAATGACAGACGATGTAAATAGATCAGGGCTATCAAACTCCCGGCCCGTGGGCTGGAGGCGCAACACGCTGCCCACGCCTGGTGATACCACCGTGACGACGCGTGTTTGACACACCTGAAATAGATTGAGGAAAGCACTGTCACTGTCACGACCCAGAGTATATCAGAAATATAACAAAACCCAAAACGTGAATAAAAATCCTTTAATGCCTTCAACTTGGCTTCACTGTTTAAGTGTTCACAGTGGAGGAGTAAAACTATTTTCAAAATAACATTTCAAAGGCAAAGAAACACAGTTCAAATTCAAGAGCCGATAACGAAGCAAAAACCAAAAACAAACCACATTGAATAAAGTTCCACGACAGGCCAGGATAGATAATTGCCAACTTCAGGAAGATAACCAGGTACAGTCCGTTGGAAGAATGCCAACCAAGATAAACCTTCTTTAGGAATAAAACACTAATTTGTCTCCAGCGTCTGTTAGCACGCAGGTCCAACCTTTTATGCAGATCTCACACCTGCAACCCATGAAGAGGATCAAGGCCCTCTCCTCCCAAGTAGACCACGTTTTACCCTGATCCTCTCCTCCCTGCGTGCCCTAGGATGGAGAGGGGATGGGCCTGGGTCCTCCTCTGACTGCAAGGCATTCGATAAAGTAGACCACAACCTACTTCTTAGTAAGCTAGAAAAAAGTGGAATAGATAGCACCACCACTAGATGGATTCGCAACTGACTGGCAAACCGTACTCAACGAGTAGTCCTTAATGGGTCTAAGTCTACATGGAGGGAAGTAAGCAGTGGGGTGCCACAAGGTTCCGTCTTAGGCCCAGTACTCTTCAATATCTTCATTAACGACTTAGATGAGGGAATAGAAGGGGAACTTACCAAATTTGCAGATGATATTAAGCTGGCAGGAATAGCTAATACCCAAGAAGATAGGCTCAAGATCCAGATGGATCTTGACAGACTAGAACACTGGGCCACATCTAATAAAATGAAATTCAATATAGAGAAAAGTAAAGTCCTACACTTAGGCAAGAAAAACCAAAAGTACACATATAGACTGGGTGAAACCAGGCTCAATAGCAGTAACTGTGAGAGGGATCTTGGAGTCTTAATGGACAACCTTCTAAATATGAGCCAGCAGTGTGCAACAGCTGCCAAAAAAGCTAATGCAATCCTAAATTGTGTTAACAGAGGGATACAGTCAAGATTAAAGGAAGTACTAATACTACTCTATAAAGCCTTAGTAAGACCACACCTAGAGTACTGCATCCAGTTTTGATCGCCACATTATAAAAAAGATGTTGAGACTCTAGAAATAGTACAGAGAAGAGCAACCAGGATGATTAGGGAACTGGAGGCTAAAACATACAATGAACGGTTGCAGGAACTGGGCTTGGCTAGTCTAGTAAAGAGAAGGACCAGGGGAGACATGATAGCGGTCTTCCAATATTTGATGGGCTGCCACAGGGAGAAGGGGGTCAAACTATTTTCTAAAGCTCCTATAGGCCAGACAAGGAATAATGGATAGAAAACTGAACAAGGAGAGATTTAACCTGGAAATAAGGAGAAACTTTCTGACAGTGAGAACAATCAACCAATGGAACAGAAGTTGCCCTCGGAAGTTGTGGGAGCGCCATCAGTTGAGACTTTCAAGAAGAGATTGGACTCCCCTCTGTCAGAAATGGTGTAGGGTCTCCTGCTTGGGCAGGGGGTTGGACTGGATGACCTACAAGGTCCCTTCCAACTCTGATTATCTGTAATCTGTAATCTGCTCAGCCGGCCTCTGCCCTTCCCCAGCCTCCTCCACCACCTCTGGAGCCACCCTTCCACTCCCTGTTGGCTGTTCCTCCTCTTCCTCAGAGTCAGTCTCCACTAGGGGCATGACAGTCACTCACTCACCAGGAAGAGTGAAATGGGTGCTTGTGTTCTCCCCACTGCAAGTAGAGATTTGGTTCCAGAAATGGAATCCTAGAGACAGAAGGTCCCCTTTGACTTTCCAGCACTAACTAGGTTCCAGGGCTAGATTTTCTGGGGCTAACCTGGCTTACCTGTCAGCAGGGTCCCCATGACATTGATAGCCAAACGTGCCACGCTGAGAGACTTGGGTAGCGCGTACTGAATGCACAAGTAAGAAAGCAACTGGATAGCAAATATCTGGAAAGGGAGAAGCAAAACCAGAAAAGCAATCAAGAAAGATCTTTAAGGCAGAGGCGTCAAACTCAAGGCCAACCGGCCGGTCCCAGCACGCGGGGTGCTTAGATCTGGCCCACGAGGCCAGCCTGGAAATATCAAGGGGTGGCCCCACGCAGCCCATTTTCAGCCTCCATGGCCTCCTGCAGCACTTTCTTCTCCACAACCTCCATGTTTTCGGCCAGCAGAGTGCTGCAGGAGGCCGCGGAGGCTGAAAATCGGCAGGGGGGGGGGGAGAGCCTCTCATGGCCCCCTTGTGGCTCATTTTGGCCGGCAAAGTGCTGCAGGAGGTTCCTGTCTCCTCACCCACCCACCGGCCGGTCTGCAGACAAGAATTACAATGCTGATCTGGCCAGTGGTAGAATTAAACCACTTCGCACCACTTCAGCCGAACTTGTTGTTAAATTGCTGGCTGGGACATGAGCCTTTGCAGGAAGCAACTTTGTTCGTACTCGTCAATTTGAAACCTGAAGCTCCGTGTTGAATTTGTGCTCCGTCTGGCCTTATACAACTAATTGGCAATTTAGGCGTTGGCAGCATTTCAAGGGAGATAAAGGTGGGTGCTTATCAGCCTTATCCCAAAGGACTTTGGCAGACTTCTGTGGGACTATTTACAAACTATTTGAGACTCATTACGGGCTGTGAATGACTATAATTCACAGCCATTGAAATAAAATAAAAGGTTTTTGGGACTAACGTGTTTGTTAATGTCTCAGGAAGTTCTTGGTTAGAACACTTATCAACATAAATTTCGGGTTCAATTGTGGTCGTAAGGTAAGGATTATGTATACAAGCAATCCTCGATTTATACTTGAAAAATACCTAGAGATCTGGGGCTCTATTGCAAGAGGCCAATAGATTTGGGGAGCTCCATATTCCTGGGGGAAGGTGCTTCACAGAACAGGTGCCGGGACCAAAAAGAACCACTAGGGAACACTGCTTCACCGAGGGGGCCCAATCCTCCAGATTGGGTCGAAACCAATAAAACCCCTGATCTAAGCCACAGACCCACACATAAGGGGAGGAGAAGAGGGGGGGGGAGGCAGCCGTCTGAGCCAGTACCTGTTTCTCCAGTTCAGGCTGAGCAATCAGTTCGGGAATGAAGTCCAGGCAGATATGCATAGAGGGGATGCCAGCCACGGTTAGGGGGAGCAGCTCACAAGGGTAGCCCTGTTTGGAGAGAAAGGGAAGGGGGAAAAAGTGGCCCATTTGAGAAATCTGGCTTAAGCCCTGCCTGTTTCAAGCAAAACCAAAGAAGAGTATTTGTAGTTCAGGGTTGACATGAGGGGTCCTGGGTGCTCTCTGAGCTTGGTTGTTTTCTTGCAGATGTTCCATGACCCTAACTAGGTAACATCATCACTGCTAGTAAGGAGTGCTGTTCAGTGGTGGGTTTCAAAATAGTTTACCTCCGGCTTGGTGGGCGTGGCCAAACGCGCCCTTTGCGCAGAGGCTTTCTGTCATGGCCCTGTTGGAATCTGATTCCGAGGGGGAGGTCGAGCAGCTGACAGGGAGTGGGAGTGTGGCTCTGGTGGCTGTGGAAGAAACTAGGGAAGGGCACAGTCCGGCTGGGCATTCACGGGAAGACCCAGGGCCACCCCCTCTGCATCCTAGGGCACGCAGGGAAGAACGGAAAAGGGAGCAACGTGGCTTATGGGGCAGAAAAGGGCCCTGATTCCCTCCATTAGCTGCAGCTGAGAAAACAGGATTTAAAAAGGGCGTTTGTGCACAGCACCTTGCTGGAAGCAAAGCGTGCATTATTTTTGTTTGTTAAGTCTTATCCGGGTTCTGGCGTCCTCCCAACTGTGCGTGTTTTGTTATCTTTTGACGTCTGCAATCCCTTATCCTGCCCTGTCTCGTTAATTGCTGCAGCGTGGTTTGTGTTGGTTTTTATTTATAATCTATATGTACTTTGGGTTCGGATGGAATTTCTTCCCTTTAGAAACTGTTCCTGGGAGAGTTTTTTTTTTTCTCCAGCTGAGGATAACTGGACATTGGGGGCCAAGTTGGTGGTATTAAAGGGACTTTATCTGCTTTTGTGACCTTGTTGCTTTTGTGCCACGCCCCTTTGGGTCATCACACTTTCCAACTCCCCTCCTGCAATCCTGCGCTCTCCCTGTCGCTTCAGCAGCTGATGCGCGGCAATCTGCTGTGCCGCGCAAAGCAGCTGTGCTTCAAAAGCAAGGAATAAAGGTCAGTATGGGAGCCAGGGCGGGCAGGTGGGCCCCAACAGCAGCTCCAGCAGCTCCCCAGAGGGAACTGGTTTGGTCTCCGCCGATCTTCGGCACTACCGGTACGCTAAAACCGGGTCGAACCAGTAGAATACCACCACGGGTGCTGTTTGCTGTTAGTTTATATTTCGGTGTCTTTAATAACTTCTATAGACAGTTGCACAAGGACAATCAAGCAGCCCAAAAGAATAAAAAAAAAACTCCAGCACCTCTCCACCAGCAATCAGCACCCAGATCAGCCTAGTGTCAGGGCTCCAGTAGTTACCTCCATTTAAATCATGAGTCTCTAGCCGGATATTCAAAGCTTAAAGAAGATTTATTAGGAGTAAACATGTCCGGTGCTGCCGGGCTGTAGCCGACTCTGAGACACATCATTCATTGTCATCCTTAACCTTGGTTTCCCCCCACCCTCTGGGTGTATCATAATTCATATTCTCCAATGGGACACCTCCATAGCCAAGAGCAGTGGTGGGATTCAAATATTTTTTAACACCGGTTCGGTGGGTGTGGCTTGGTGGACGCACTTTGCGGGCATGCACACACTATGCATGCGTGCGCATGGGTGTAGAGGCTTTGTGCAGGCCCAGAGGCATTCTAACTCACCTCCTGCAAGCCTGTTTGATCCCAGTCGCTTTAGCAGCTGCCACGCGGCACTCTTCTGTGCCGCGTAAAACAGCTGCGCTTCAAATTCAGAGGATACAGGTGAGTATGGGAGCCCGGGCAGGTGGGAGGGCCCAACAGCAAAGCAACGGAGAGAACCGGTTCGGTCTCTGCTGCTCATCACTGCTACCGACTCGGCAGAACCGGGCCGAACCGGTAGAATACCACCACTGGCCAAGAGTCATCGATCATACTCTCATTAGAATTTTGCTTGGCAGAAACTTCAGTCACCTAGAACAGCGGTCGCCAACCGGTGGGCCACGTCCCACCGGTGGGCCTCAAGAAAATTTTGGTGGGCCGCAGAGAAATGTCACCCCGCCAAAGCAATTAATCCAGGCTTCTCAGGAACACAAGGCTGCACCGCCCACATGGCCCGCGGGAACCCTCCCCACCCACTCACTCCTTACCCGGCAAACTTTTCTGCTAAGTTGCTATTTTTCCTTTTTCCGACCATCATCTGTTCTGCTGTGCCGGGAGATTTAGATTAGCTAGGAAGCAGGAAATGGTTGGATTTCTTGCTTTCTAGCTAGTCTTTAGATTTTCGGCTCTGCTTTCCTTAGGACTGAAGGTTCTATTATTCAGTGCAGACTCACGGCAAGCAAATTTTATGTGACAGACTGAGCTAGCCGATGGCAGATAGATAGAATCACTGAATGATTCTGTGCGCAACTCAATCTGCCTACCTGCTTTGCCTGATTTTTGGGTAAAAGTTGCTCTTTTTTTTACAAAAAAAATCAATATTTATATCAATATTTATAATATTTACATATAAGCCATGCCCAGCCAGTCACATGACCACAAGCCACACCCACAAATTAGGCCACACCCACAGGACCGGTTAGTGGTCCTTGGAATTTAAAATTATGAGTTTGGTGATCCCTGAGGTCCAAAAGGTTGGCGACCCCTGGCCTAGAAACCATCTAGGAAAACATTTATGGAATGTAATTTTGGTTTTGCAAGCTGCTACACTACTCCCCCCTCCCTTTCTGCTGGCAACTCTAAAAAGACCATAGAAATATTTTATGAGTTGACACCTAGATCAGGAGTGTCAAATTGGCGGCCCATGGGCCGGATGCATCACGCACAGGCCACTCCCATCCCAGCTCCGCAAAGGGGAAAAAAATGTCACGGGAAAGCAATATGAGGCCACAAATTTGACACCTGTGGCATAGATGAACTCCAAGGTTAACCTCAGACCAAACAATGAAGTAAACAACACCCCAGTGAAGAAACTGCCAAATAGGTGGTCCTCGAGCTACGACCATAAAACGGGTTGGTCATTAGGGCCGTAATTTGAGGATTACCCAATATATTTAACTGATGGCCCTTTGAGCTCAAGTGGCAGATCTCAGGAAAGACACGCAAACACACACACAGACCCATTGAAAGCTATTGATGGTCCAGCATGGCATGAGCAGCCAAGTGGCGCAAAGGGGCAGCTGAAAACACAACCACACCTGGAAGTGAACCAGCTTAGCGATGTTGGGGTCGGCGATGAACATCTGGTGCACAAGACAGCAAACCAGGCACTGGACTTCTCTCAAGTTGCAGAGAAGGCTGTCTTCTACTTCCTCCCCGTCTCCTCCTTCCTTTTCCTCCTCCTCTTCCTCTTTGACCGGCTTGTTTGGAGGACTGCGTGCGGCACTTCCCGGGTGGTTCTTCAGCAGTCTGGTAGACCTCCTGCCTGGAGGGCTTTCTTCTTCCAAAGGCAAGCAGATCTCCAGAAGGATCTGCACCGCGGCACTATCCTGCAGGAAGGTAAGTCAAGAGCAACCAAGCAAGTTGAGACCAGAGCAACTCAGAGTCAACATCCAGTTCGAGAATCCAAATAAAACTCTGCAGGTTCCTTTCGTTTCAGAAAATCTTACTGTTTACAGCAGGGGTGGGCAAACTACGGCCCGCGAGCCACATCCGGCCCGTTGGTCTGTCCAATCCGGCCCGCCCCTGAAAAAAAATCGCTGGGCGTGGCGTATTGCCCTGCGCCGCGTGGCCCCCAAAGCTGCAAAACAGTGCGGAGCGCTCTACGGGTAGGAAAGAAAAGAAGAACTTTGTAAAGGCCTCGGCTGGGAGTTCGAAATCACCTTCGAGTGCGACCTCTCCGAAGGTGAGTCCCCACCGATCCCCCTTTTTTTTCCGGGGCTTCCAGGCTTAAACTTTGCAAAGGCAAAGTTTGCAGGCGGGAGCGTCTTCCGGCCGAGGAGCGGGAAGGGTTCCGCCCGGCGGGTGGGCTGCTTGGAGCGGGCTGCTTGGAGCCACCTAAAGCTAGGCCGCTGCTGGTGGAGCCTTGCCCTGCCTTGGTGCCCCGTTTCCCGGCTCGGCGGTCCTGCTTGGGCGGCACTTTAAAAGCCTGCTCCCAGCACCCGAGCAACTTCCCAGCAACTTGCGGCTTCCTTTTTCCTCGTGGGCGCTCGCGCCTGGCCCCGAGCCGCGCGGTGGAGGGGAAACCCGGAGCACCGCCGGGTCGCCTCCTCCAAGCAGCCCGCCCGCCCGCCGGGCAGAACCCTTCCCGCTCCTCGGCGGGAAGACGCTCCCGCCTGCAAACTTTGCCTGTGCAAAGTTTAAGCCTGGAAGCCCCGGAAACCCGAGCAACTTCCCAACAACTTTCAGCTTCCTTTTAACTCGCGGGCGCTCGCGCCTGGCCCCGAGCTGCGCAGCGGAGGGGAAGCCCGGCGGGCAGGCGGGCTGCTTGGAGGAGGCGACCCGGCGGTGCTCCGGCAGCAGCAACAGGCAGTTCCGCCCGGGCTCCGCTCAGGTGTCCGGCTGGGGCTGTCAGGAGTTGCTACCGCCGGCGCAGCTCCGCGCGGCTCCAGTCCCGCGTTGCCTTGGGAAGGAAAAGGCAAAACCAGGAGCCGCTGAGCCTGAGCCTCCGGTGCCGCTGCTGCCATTGCAAAGCGCCGCCGCGGCTCTTCCTTTTTGCCTTTCCCTTCCCGAGGCAACGCGGGACTGGAGCCGCGCGGAGCCGCGCCGGCGGTAGCAACTCCTGACTCAGGGGGCCTCCGAGGGGAGGGGAAGGAGGAGAAGGGGGGGGAAAGGGTGGGGGG